CACTATTTTACACTGAAATAAAGTATCTGAGATTCCACTTGGGCTGGTTCAGATAGTCAGCATGCCGCTAACTAAGGGCTTAGCATCTACACTTTGAAGAAAGAAAACGAACAAATGAATCAACTTGGCTTTAATTTATATTTCTACCACTGAATTAAAATGCTTGGCCTTCATCAAGATCCTTTATTGGCCAAGAATGAATGAAAATTCATTTGGATTACCACAGCAAGAACTCAAGCTCTGTTTTGTTCACATGCTATTATTTATCAGTAAAGACCCAAGTTAACAAAATGTTAAATATAAACAAAATTTCATTTATTAACTTTCTAAATTCTGTTTTATTCTTATACATGGTCAGTAGATAAAACCTTTAAATACAAACCTGTACTCAGGTTAAAAAAAAGTATTAGAATAAACCAGAGATAATCAAATCAAAATGAATGAAACCAGAAGAAAAGAATTTATCATTAGAGACATTTTTTTAACACAATTCTGAATTACTGCAGATGCTCTGTAATAACCTACCTGTTAAAAAGAACATATTGTAAAAGGTTATTTCAGACCACAATATTATATTATTAATAGTTCCTTCTTTGTTTTTGTGATTTTACATTTGGAGACAAAACAAAACCAGAGAAAGATTTCCTTTTCTGAATTATTAAGTCAAATCACAAAAATTTAGGTAACATATAGATGGATGGTTTCTTTTAGGTTGAACTATATGGTGTTGCTGATACACAACTATTTTTGATATACAAAACCAGCAATTTTATATGATTCAACTAAATGCGAAAATTGGATGAGATGTGCTTTTCTGTGTTTAAAATAATTTCAACTTGCACCCTTTTCAGAAACCTTTTACTTATAAAATTTAGAGAAGTTACTTAGCTATTAATAAGTATAGTAATTAATGAAAAAGTAACATTTCCATTACAATGTATAAAATAAAGACCTTCTAAGGATAAGACACTTAAATGTTACTGTGCCTTCAGAGTTAAACAATGACTAAGCATTTCAATATGAGGTGAGAAATTCCATACTCACATGTTTAAAGCAGGTAACTGGAGCTGCTATAAAGCTATTGCTATTGATGTAGTTACCCCAGCTGAAACCTTCCATGGAGACTGCTGCTGAAACAGAATAAACTTAGATGTATCACAGTTCTCAAATCTCTGATTTGTAAGAAGGCTATTATTTTAAAATGTGAATTGAAATTAACTTATTTATTAATTTATAGGGAGTTTTCTTTCTGTAAAGATAGAGCTTCTCTAAGTAAACACAAACTTTAGTATATATCATGTTTGCCAACAACAGCAGTTTAACTCTTCTATATATAACATATGCTCTTTGGGAAGTGAAATAAGAGCTCTCCAGTTATAAGAAACAAAGAACAGTTGAGAGCAGAGACGTTCAGGACAACACGCACTGCTATGGCTGCTTTTGTGTTTTATTCCCACGCAGCTCTTACTGTGAACTTCACGAGATTTCTATCCAGTATCACATCTTCACTAGGGTTGTCCATTGTCTCACTCCCTGCTTTCATTGCCTCACTCCCTACTTACCTCCTGGTCTTTGCAATCCTGTTAAGAATCTTCTGCTAAAAATGGTCCTTTTCTCAATTTCCTTCTCTCATTACTTTCTTCTCCCCAATCCCTTTGAAGCTTACTAAATGTCGTATTTCTTTGCTCACTATCTCCACAATATTCCCCACCTTCCACAGCATAGAGAATCAGTACACAAAAATAATAAGCCAAATAAAACACCTATATATTAAGGAGATTGCCACAAGCGCTATAACTTGTGAACACAACTATTTTCTTCTAATTTATTGAAAACTGCTATCAGGATGCCTAGTGTCATAATGGGCACAGAATAAGATTAGTTAAACAGAACTCAAGATTCAAATGTCACTAATTAAAACTAAATGAAACAGTACCACGTATTTCACTTCCACTGCATTCACCCACATTACCTGCTTTAGTCTTTGCTTGGTTTTGCAAGGTAGCTTGATACTGAGCATATGCAGCTAGTTTAGCAACTAAAGGTTGTTTCTGAAGAACTTTTGCTTTCTTTGTTGGAGGCTTACCCTAAAACAAGAAGAGTTAAGTAAATAGGATTCTTTTTCAACCCCTACCCCCAAAACCAAAAACTAACTTGATTACATACTACTCATTCTGCTTAAGTAAACATTGAGGGTTTAGAAAATTATTAAAGCAAAGGAAACATATGAGGAATTTTAACATGAGAAGTGTTTTCTGGAGTTCTGCTACAATGTAGATTTCTAATATGGGTAGCAGAGCTGGCACAGACTAAAATAGCAATATGCAAATTAATATGTTAATAAAAATTATATCCCATAAGATGTTAAACATAGGCTGTGGTGGATACTTGATTCCTTCTTACACTAGATAAAACCAGTGGTTATTCACTCATGCAGGCTGCCAAGCATTGCTATTTATATAAGAGAAGATAATTTAATGTTTAAAGAGCAAGTGACTGAGGTTTATACCTTTAGTGCTAACGCAAAAGATCAATGACAAAATGATCATGGGCCAAATTCACAGTGTGACAAACTGCCATCCATTTGGGTACAGACCATTGCTCAGGATCTTTAGGTACTGTCTATCTGAAATATAGAAATACATCTAAGTGATGTATTTCCTTAATTTGGGGAATTTAAATAATCCTCTCAGTGCTATGTAATGATCACATAAGATAAAGAATAAGAAAAATGCGATCATTCAAATAAAATATATTGCAAAAGTCAGATATGTAATGCCTTTAAAAAGTCGTTTATATGATACAATAGTAATAACTTAGTCAAATGGTCAAATTTCTAGGCATTTTGCAGGCACTAATGTACATTTAAAGAAAGATGATTTTCTTTCTGTATCATGAATGTTTTCAAAAAGGTTAGTTGGATTAACCAAATACACTTGGTCAAGGTATCAAATAGGTTGCAATCAAAAGTACAAGCCAAAGATGATGGAAAAATAAAACCAAAGGGTAAATCAAACCCCCAACACTGAAACTTTCTACCTTGATGTTAACTCAAAAGAAAACGGGGAAAAAATGGCTTCAATTATGTCTATAAAAAGATGTTAATTATATTTATAGTTATTTAGAAAATAACTCACACAAACAATTCATAGTTTATTTTGGATAGTATGCCTTCTCTATTCATAACAGCTGATCAATTTTACAGAATGAATGAACAAACTTTAGGGCTCACGTATTTCCTAAGCATGTGGGGTATAAAATGATAACTGGCCAATCAGGCCGAAGGTGGAGTGCAGTGAATCACAATCAAATGACAGATAAACGGTGAAAGCCATAGAAATAACAGATACAAAGAATAAGAAGGTTTCTGTACCGTTACCTGAAGTCTGGCCAAAATGCTTGCCTTCTTGGAGTTTGACGAATAACTTCTTGAACATGAAACACTGCAGAAACGCTTTGTTTTAGAGTAAAAAGCATCTCGTACACCAACCATCCCACACATTTCACAGGTAGCTAATTAACAAAATAAAAACATTGCTGTTATAATCATATAATAAAACCAATTTTTATCTAACAGTTTAATAATTTCTCCAATTATCTAAAGATTTTAAGACATTTCCTTCAAACCAGATAGAAATTTTTTTTATGTTATATAAATGACAGAAAAGCCTACACAAAAGTTAGAGAAAAGACTGGTATGCTGCTGTGGATACAGGTTCCAGAAGGTCTGATAATAGCTTAAGGTCTGAAAAGGGTCAAAAGACACACATACATATGTAAGTTAGATTCAACTAACATTTCCTTCGTGCTCACCTCATGCCAGACATTGTAAGCGCCAATGTTTGAAAGGATTGTAAACAAAATATGAAAAGAAGTGCAACACTACTGAAGATTAATACAAAGTACAGCAAAGGCCTTTAAAACACTGCAAAGATTGAAACATAAAAATAGCCAACTATTGGAAAAATGCTAAAGGCAACATGAAGATTCTTTCAGGTTATGTTCAGGAGAGAAAAAGATAGGTTCAAAGCTTGAGGTAGGTGCTGTATTATTAAGAAGGCAACAAAACTCACTAGTATCGTGTCTCTCTTTTGTAAATTAGCATTAAGGACAATAATCTGAAAGGCAGAATTAGAAGAACAAGGGTAACAAGAAGTGAAGCTCAAAAAAAGATAAATAGGTTGTGGGGTGGCTGATTTATATGGTAATCACATGTTAAATTTTTGAGGACTCACCATACTGTTTTTCAGTAACGGCTGTACCAATTTACATTATCACCGAGAGTGAGTTCCCTTTTCTCCACATCCTCAACATTTGAGGTTACCTCCTGTCTTTTTGACACTAGCCATCCTAACAGGTGTGAGGTGATAGTTCACTGTGGTTTTGATCTTCATTTTCCTGATGATTAGTGAGTTGAGCACCTTTTCATATACCTACTGGCCATTTCTTTGGAAAAATGTCTATTCTTTGGAAAAATGTCTATTCAGGTCCTTTGCCCATTTTTTTAATTGGATTATTTGCTTTTTTTTTTTTTTTTACTATTGAGTCGTATAAGTTCTTTATATATTTTGGATATTAACCCCTGATTAGATATATAGTTTGCAAGTATTTTCTTTCATTGTGTAGGTTGTCTTTTCAATTTGTTTCCTTTGCTGTTCAGTCCTCTTTAGTTTGAGGTAGTCTCACTGTTCATTTTAGCTTTTGTTGCCTGTGCTTTTGGTGTCTTATCCAAGACATCACTGCCAAGACCAATGTCAAGAAGCTTTTTTCCTATGTTTTCTTCTAGGAGCTTTACAGTTTCAGGTCTCCCATTTAAGACTTGAATCCATTTCAAGTTAATTTTTGTAAGTGGTGTAAGATAGGGGTCCAGTTTCATTCTCTGCATGTGAATATCCAATTTTCCAACACCATTTACTGAAAAGACTATCCCTTCCCCATTCTGTGTTCTTGGCGCACTTATCAAAAATTAGGTGACTCTAAATCAGTATCTCAAAGAGACAGCTGCCCTCCCATGTTCACTGTTGTATTATTCACAACAGCCAAGTTATGGAAACACGTTACATGTGTTTTGATGGATAAGTAGATTTTAAAAATGTGGTGTACACACACACACACATATATATAATGGAATATTATTCAGCCATAAAAAGAAGAAAATCTTCTCATTTCTGGCAACATGGATGAAACTGGGGGGATTATGCTAAGTGAAGTAAGTCAGAAAGAGAGAGACAAAGTGTATGGTATCACTTATACATGGAATCCTTAAAAGGAAAAAAAAAAGGCCCATTTCATAGAACGGTGGTTGCCAGGGGTTGGGGAGAGGGAAAAATGGGGAGGTGAAGGTCAAAGGGTACAAATTTTCAATTTTAAAAAGAATTAAGTTGTGAGGATTTTAGGTACAGCATGGTGATTATAGTTAGTAATACAGTACTGTATACATGAAAGTTGCTAAGAGTAAACCTTGTGCTCACATCTCTCACACACACACACATGGTTAATTTTGTGAGATGATTGATGTGTTCATTATCTTGATCCTGGTAATCATTCCACTGTATATATGTATATCAAATCACCACACTGCACACTTTAAGCATATACAATTATGCTGGTCAATTATTACCCAATAAAGTTGGAGGGAAAAAGACAGCATTGCAAATAACTGCATTAAGTGGGATCAAATCTCCACCCAAACAGTTAAAACTAGAGGAACTGATAGTTTAACCAGTACTTATAATAAATTATAACAAATCATAGAAAAATGTAAGGTGTTTAGAGATAAACAAAGGTGTTCAAGGGATTAGAGATAAACAAAGGTGTCCAAGGGAAAAAAAACCTGAGTGATTTTCTGTTGTAAAAATTCTAGAACACATTATTAAGGAGGTTTGTTAACTAGGTTATAAAAAATGTGATCCCAAGGGGACAGTATATCTTTGTCAAAAATTGAACATGTCAAACTAGAATTCCCATGACTAGGATGTGCACTCCATCAGGAACTTTATTCTATACTATTCACATCTGTATTTCTAATATCTAAAACAGAGTCTGGCACATATAAAGCTCCTTTTTGTGAAAAGATTACCAGATTAATATGTCATAACTAAACCATGGCAAAATGTGTATTACTGAGAGTTAACACATTTGATATAATTTCTCATGCAGTTCTGTCAATAACGATGGAGAAATTTAAGCTGAAGTAGAAGACACCTAAGGTAGGTTTTAACTGGTTGGATGATCACTAGTGGGTCCTGATAAATAAAGTTAAGTTTTTTGTTATGGTCTGCAGGACTCTCTACCAGGCTTGTGCTGCTCAATTTTTTAATCAAAAGACTAGAATATAACAGGGCATTATTATCAAATCTGCAATATTTGATAATATATTAATCAGGATCAGATGACATTGCATTCAACATTACATGACAGAATTAAGAATAAAAAATTTCTAAGACCAAAGTTTAGTAAGAAAAATGTTACATGGAGAGTTTTAAAGTCTTAAGCTTTGGGTTTAAAAAATCAACTGCAAAAGCACAAGGTTGGTTTAAATTGTTTTAGGTCATGTGGTTTTAGTTATCTGCAAATTCAGTATTAGTTTCAAAAAAGTTAAAGCAATTTTGGTGGCCTGAATGGAAACACAGTGTCCTGAAAAAGGAAGGTAAAAGATGAACTATCTTCTGCCCTAGTCACATATGGTGACCAACCAGTTGCCTGAGATTTTTTCCAGGATGTGGAACTTTTATTCCTAAAATCAAGACATTCTTGGGCAAATCAGGACAAGTTGTCACCCTACTAACACATAATCTGAAGTGTCCCCAGAAGAACAGGATATTGATGAATTAAATCACTGTGATACTATGAGAAACAGTAGAAGCAACGAGGGTTAGTGTGCTCTAGAGACACACTAGAAATAAGTGTTCTGGTGTGAAGAGAGGAGTTGTTATTGTAACAAGGATTGGAATTATTCTGTGTACTTCAAAAAGCAAAATTAAGACCAAAAGACAAAAATGAGAGCAGGGATAATTCTGGTTCAATATAAAGAATATTCTGGTAATCAAAGATACTCTATCACTGGAAGTGTTAGAACAGAAAACTTCTTATAAGGAACTGTTACAGAGGGAGACTTACCTTGAAAGTCTCAACTCTGTAAGTCCATTATCTTACACACTTCAAGTTATACAGGGATTTATTATTTAATTACAGAATTTAAGTCTACATTAAGTTTCTCAACAGCCTTTTTTGTTTTCATTTTGTTCTACTTGCTTTCCACTAGGAGGTGGTAGGTAGGCAAAATAAAGAGACCTAACACAAACCCAGTGATCTTACCTAGAACTCTAAGTTTCAGACAGTGTTTCTTTAAACTGTTCTTTAAAAATTTTAAGAGAAATGACAGAAGAAATGCAATCAAAACATACCCTCAAATACGAAGGTGTGTAACAGGTGAAGGCTGTTCACCCAAACGCTGAAGCACTCCTACTCACCCATGCCAGATTTACCATCTGGGTACGTGTAGACTTGGCCATTGTTTTTGATAATTGGGAGATTGGAAGGTAAAGGAGCAACTTCTTCTTCACTCTCCTCAGAGCTGGAGCTGCTACTTGTGTCCTCACTGCAGCTATCATAACCGTCAAACATCCCGAATGAGTCTCTTCTTTTCCTTTTGGATCGTGAAGAATTTTCAGTCTTAAAAGTAGAAGACATCAGTAACACATGACGTAGCACTCATATATACCACCAAAAAGATCTTAGTTCAAATTCTAGTTAAGTGAGGGTTTGAAAAATGAAAGTCTAGCCCTGAGAAATGGTATTTTTATTTTATAATGAAAAGCTGAATGTTTGTGTCAAATTGGAGCCCTCCACTTCAATGAAGCACAAATCTACTAGCTACCATGTTAGCTAAGAAGAGTAACAATAATGATGGAAAAAACACCCAATAGAAATCACAAGACCATGTAATTCCAGTTTTGCCATAAACTAGATACATCACTTCTCTGTGAAAATGAGATAAGATCAGATGATCTCTTTTTTTAAAACTGTGGTAAAATACACATAACAAATTAAGATGATTTCTTAATTTGCCTCATCTCTAGAATTGTAAATTTCTATTATAATTTAGAGCATGTAGGAAATACATAGATGCTTTTAAAAATCACTGTTAAGAGTTCAGGAAGGACGGAAAATTTAAAACTTTAGAGACAATTTTAAGGTATTAGCTATTTCAAAAATTATAGAAGACAGCATTTCTGTGTGACCAATATTTCATTTTTTTCTTTAACATAAATGGTTAGAAAAAACAGTCATCTCAAGCTAAACATTTCTCTTTCAAAAGAAAAGCACAAAGATTCTATGTATCATGTTCATTGAATGCTACTCATATGTTCCGGTAAAAAATGTTCACATGTTCCCTCATTCAAGCTACACAAACACCCCTAAACTGATACCACCACTCCAATTTTTCCTGAAATAAATCTCTAAATTTCAAGTTTAGTGAGAAGAAAATCAAAATAATATAGGAAATAACAAAGGGAAAAAAGAAAGGAATATCTGAAATAAAAATCCCAAACCATCACTAAACATACAGTAAGTTACAAGCAGGGTGAAAACTGTCAACCAAAAAACCTTTAGAGTTTGGCACCTATCTGTATTCTTTTGCTTCAGTTAATATTTTTTTTGGCATCATCTTACACTTTATGCACAATTTCTTTTCTGGTTAGTTTAACATCTTAACATGACCAATAACAAAGCTGAACTCTGCTGTCCCAAGATTGACAAGACAAAACCATCCAAACGCATCTCTCAGTTTTATTGAATAAACTGTCATTTTCAGAAACGCTAGTATTAAACATTTGCATTGAGACAGGAAACTGAGATTTTCACTTGCATCAGGTATAACTACGAAAGCAACAGAACTGGTCTCTTAGTCCACACAGTGGAACTATTATATACTCACACGAATACAGTCTTTTAAGATGCCCCCTTGAGAGGCTCTACACATATTCTACTAATATTGTCATAACCTCTAACTTTATCTTTTAGTATTTTTCCTTTAGAGCTCTCTTTTAGACCCAATTTAAAAAAGAAAAGCTTACTGTCCGTGGTCATTTTAGAATGATTCTCCCACCTCCTACTATAGTTTTCCCTAGTCTGATTATTTAGCAGATTTGGTTCTGAGTAACTTTTAGTTATTTCTATTAATCAGTTATAACTTCAAAGAATCAAAATCTGCTACCACTCAAGAGATTTCAAAAGAATAAACGAGACTCTGAAGGCAATTCAAAAGGAAAAGTCTAATAATATTTTGAACTGATAAGGTGGGAGGCAGGGAATGGGGTAGTCCTTGTTTAAAGTGTGGTGCTAACAGCACAGAATTCTGACATACTGAGGTTTGAGACTCAGCTTTGTCATTTATTTACGTGAATTTGGACAAGTAATGAGTTTCTATCTCTTATTTATTCAACATTCAACAATTATTGATCAAGCATTTGTGTGTTTCACAGTAACGGGGGCTAAAGAAAGGAGGTGTTCAGAGCAGACCAGACCCACGGTTCTCATAAAGGTTATATAGCCTACTAGTGGGAGAAATCCAAGCAAGGCCATGTGATAACAAAGTAACAAGGCAGGGGTAGTCAACTGAGATTCAGTGGTGAGGAAAGACCCTGAGGACCAAAAAAGCAGCCACGTGAATATTTGGTGCTGGAATATTCTAGGCAAAGGGAAGAGCAAGGCAAAGGCTTTCAGGCTGGAATACACCTGGTGTACTAAAAGGCCAGTGTGGCTGGTGCCCAGTCTGAGAGGTGAGGGAGGTGAAGGTTGGAGGAGGATGCATTTGCCAGATCACCAGGGTCCTTGAAGGTCAGGGTAAATTTTGATATATTTTTCTCTCAAGGGCAATGTAAAGACACTATGAAATATCTATTACAATGCCTGAAATACACATTTATTAAACACTGGCTAGAATTCTAAGCTCTAATAAATTCATCTATCCTAACTCCATGCAGAGATGCTCTTTTATACACATAAGCTCATCAGCCAGCTTGGTTAGCAGCTAACACATATTCACTGACCCTTAAATGTCAACACAGACTATCTTATTCTGATTCTACTTCTTAAAGAATATAACCCTAAAATTTCACAGGGCCAATGATTACGAACATTTTGGTTTCAATAATTATAGGCTGTTAACATTAAAAAAAAGTATTATGGTCAAATACATATGGGAAATTTTCCTTACTTCAAAGCCCTCTTTGAACCTTTAATATGCTTATGAACATTATAACAATTTAAGAGGGACATGTATGTAGCCTTTTCCAAAGCATTTTTAAGGACTAATTTTCTAGAGAAATGCTCTCTGATATCTTCCACAGTCCCTGCACACAAAGAAAATGATCCTCTATACAACATAAGGGAAATAAGCCCCTGGATGCACACAGCTTGAGGCCTCTGACTGCCGCAAGTGTTGCAGGAATGAGTATCTTGACATACACGTAACCCAAGATGTGCTAGTTAGGAAGCTGTATTCTACTTGGGGAAGTAGTTTTTCTTTTATTAGGATAGAATGCTAGTGAACTATATATATGAACAGTAATCAATTTATCCTATGTAAAAACCTACCATTTATTTACTGTGAGGAGCTTAACTGTAAACTCCTGCATCAGACCAAAACCCCAAGGGGGCTGCAACTTCCACGAGAGCTGCAAAATGGGTGGGAAAAAAAATTTGACTATATGCAAAGGGGATATGTAAGAGAGCCCCTCTGCCTATGCTGTGGGTGGAGGCCTCTCTGTGATTTGGCAATCAAAGCCCTACCCTCCTGGATTCCTCTGAGATTATAACTTATTCTACCCGAGATGGTCAGAAAATCCCCACATTGAAAGATTACAGTGGTTCCAGGCTACCAGTGTCCCTAGATACCCAGCAATAGCAATACTAAACAATTTCAGAAAATAATCACCTACAATTCAGACCTTTCAGCATTCGCACAGATTTTATCAAGTATCAAGTATCAAACACACAATAAGCAATTCACCTCAAGTATCAGCAGAAATAGATTAGGAATCCCAAATAGTTAGGCACTGGAACTACCAGAGACAGAATATAAAATAACCATATAAAAACTGTCTAAGAAGAAATAAAAATATTATTGAAAAATGAACAAAGAATACAAAGCAATCAGGCAGATTTGAAAAGAACCAAACGAAATTTCTGTAAATGAAAAACCTAACTGCTATAAAAATAAACACCCAAAAACCTCAATGGATGGGATAAACAGTAGTTTATAAACATGTCTAAAAAATAATTGGGGAAATGGAAGATAAACATTAAGAAAGAACCCAAAATAGCAAAAAGACAACAAAAACAGAAAATAAGAGGTTAAAAGAGCACCAAATGTAAAGATCCAATAACACATGTCACGACGAATTCTCTCAAAGAGAAGAAAGAACATGGAGAACGGAGAAAGGTAAAGCTGAATGAGATATTGGCTGAGAATTCTGAAAAAATAAGGAAAACATGAATTCATAGATGGAACTACAATATATATTAAGCACAACAAAAAGATAGCCACACGTAAACAGATTACAGTGAAAGTGCAGACCAGAGAGAAGATTTAAAAAGTAACCAATCACAATGGTGAATCTCACTAGTCGACAAGCCCAGTTTAGGCACATTCAGTCCCATCAGCTGTTTAGTAACTAACCATGAAAATAGCGACAAGGCAAGGATTACCAATCCTGAAGAATGTGAAAGAACAAAACAAAGCTTAAAAAAAAAAATCTATAGGAGACAGAAATAATGCAGAGAGCAAAAGAAAACTTCAAAAAAAAATTAAGACAAGTAGATAATAAAAGAAAAAAGATAAAAGTTATATCCAAAAGATACAAAATCCAAAGACTAGAGAAATTCAAGAAAGAAAACAGGAAAAAAAGGAAAAAAAATACAACCACAAAATTCCAGGATCAAAAGACAGTTTCTATAATGAGAGACTATGAAAGACCAGCTTAATGACTTAAAAAAAAAAAAACCGGTACATCAATTAATAAAAATTAAAAAAAAAACCAGGTACATCATTATAAAAATTACAAAACTCTGACATACTAAAAGCTTCAAGAAAAACACTATGTCACATTAAAAGAAAAGAGAATTAGGAGACCAGTGGGCTTCTTAATAACACGATTAATAAAAGCAATGCCTTCAAACTTCTAAAGGAAAAAAATTCGTACCAGAAAATTTATACTCAAAACTCCAAGTGAAAATCAGTTAAAAAAAAAAGAGAAAAAAAAAGAAAAAGAAAAAAGTTGGTTCTTTGATAAGATCAATAAGACTGAGTAACCTCAAATCAGAGACAAGGAAAAAAAGAGAAAAGATACAAACTTTCCAATATCATGAATGAGAGGTGACATCATTACAGATTCTATAGATAGTAAGAAGACAGTAAGTATACTACCAACAACCTTAGGCTAATAAATTTGACAACTTAGAAGAAGTGGACAAATTCTTTGAAAGACATGAAACCAAATCTTACACATAAAGAAACACATTACTTGAATAGGTAAATAACTATAATAATCTGAATAGGTAAAGAAACTAAATTTGTAGTTAAAAACTTTCACATCAACAAGGCCCTAATGGCTTCACTGGGGAATTCTACTTAAGAAATACTACAGATTCTACATCAGCTCTTCCAGGAACCGAAGAGGATGAAATAGCTTCCTATTCATTCTAAAAGGCCAGCATTACTCTGATCCCCAAACCAGACAAAGCCATTACAGGAAAACTACAGAACGCTACTTACTCATCAGTATAGAATGCAAACACTCTTAACTAACTTTTAGCAGACTGAATTGAACAGTACATAAAAATAACACAGGATGGCCAAGTGGGTTTGGAATACAAAGCTAATTCAACATTGAAAATCAACATTTACCACATTAATAGACTAAAAAAGAAGTCATATGATTATCAAGAGACGCAGAAAAAGCATTTGACAAAATCCAAGAGGTACTCCTGATTAAAAAACCTCAGCAAACTAGGAATAGAAGAGAATTTCCTCACCTGATACAGAGCTTTTAGGAAAATCCTAAAGATAGCATCAAATTTAATAGTGAAAATCTGGATTTTTTTCCCTCTAAGACTGGGAACAAAATGAGTATATATGCTTTTGCCACTAAATTGTATTCAATATTGTACTAGAAAATTTAGCCAATGCAAAAAGAAAAAAAAAAAAGAAACAGAAAAGAATCCAGATTGGAAAGAAAGAAATTTAAATAAATCTTTATTCCCAGATATAATGCATCACTGCAGAAAATCTGATGAAACATCCAAAAAGCTACCTGGGCTAATAAATGAGTTTAGCAAGAACACCTGACACAATAGCAATACAGAAAAATAAGGTGTATTTCTATTTCTTAGCAATAAAAAAACAGAAATTGAAATAAAAATACCATTTATAATAGCATCAAAAACATGAAATAATTGGGGATAAATCTGGCAAAGATGTGCAAGACTGACACCTTGAAAACTATTAGATGTTGTTCTAAGAGTATAAGATCTAAAAAAAAAATGGAAAGATGTACTGTGTTCATGAATCAGAAGAATCAATATTGTTAAAATGCCAATTCTTCCCAAATTGACTTACAGATTCAACACAATGTAGTCAAAATACAGCAGATTTTGGGATAAAAATTGACAAGCTGATTCTAAAATTCATATGGAACCATAAGGACCTAGAATAGCCAAAATAAATTTTGAGAACAAGAAAGTTCAAAGACATAAGCTTCATGACTTCAAGATGTATGATGAAGTTACATTAATCTAGGCAGTGGGATTTTGACATAAAGACAAACAAACAGATCAACAGAAACAGAGCCCAGAAATAGACCCATACATATATGGTCACTTGATTTTTTGGATAAGGGTGAAAATGCAATTCAGTGGAGAAAATACAGCATTCAACAAAATGTGCTGGAAGAAGTAGATAACCATATGCAAAAAACAAACAACAAAACCACTTTGATCTATACCTTATATCATAAACAAAAATTAACTCAAAATGGATCATAAATCTAAAAGTAAGAGCGAAAACTATAAAACATCCAGAAAAAATATTGGAGAAAACTTTCACAATCTTAATTTAGGTACACAAGTATCAAAAATATGATTCATTAAAGGAAAAAACTGATAAACTGGACTTTATCAAAATTGAAAACTTCTGGTCTTTGAAAGGCACCACTGAGAGAATAAGACAAGCCACAGACTGGAAAACAGTATTTGCAAATCATGTATCTGATAAAAGATTTGTATCTAGAATATATAAAGAACTACTAAAACTCAGTAATGGAAACAACCCAGGTAAAAGGAAAACAGGCAAAGATCTAAAAAGACAATTCACAAGTAAGGTATATGGATGGCAAATAAGGACATGAAAAGATGCTCAACATCACTGGTCATTAGCAAAATACAAACTAAAATCACAAAATGCTCTTATGCATCTATTAGAATGACCAAAAAAAAAACCCCTAAAACCAAAAAACCCTCTCTGGTCTGTGCAGCAAATGGAACTCTCATTCATTGCAGATGGGAATGTAAAATGGTAGGAGCACTTCGGAAAACAGGTAGTTTATTAAAATGCTATACATACACCACTTACCATCCATTCCACTCCTAGATATTTATATAAGAAAAATGAAAGCATAAGTCCATACAAAGACATATAATTGATCATAATAGCTCAAAACTGGTAACACCTAAATGCCCATCAACAAATAAATGAATAAACAAACTATGGTTTGCCCAAGATTCCATTTTGCTACTCAGCAATAAAAAAGAATGAATTAATGATACAACAGGAATAAATCTCAATAACAATGAGAGAAAATCTTACAAAAAAAAGAGTACATGCTGTATGATTTCATTTATATAAAATTTTAGGAAATGCAAACTCATGTATAGTGACAGAAAGCAGACAGGTAGTTTCCCAGGAAGGGATGGGGGCTGGGGGTGAGAAAAAGGTTATAGAGCAGAGGAAACTTCTGGGTTCTGTATCTTGATTATAGTGATGGCTTCATGAGTGTTATATACATTTGTTAAAACTTTATTAAATTGTATACTTTAAAGGTGTCTAGTTTTAGACTCACAGACATAGAAAACAAGCTTATAGTTACCGGGGGGGGAGGGGGTGGGAAGGAATAAAGTGGGAGATTTGCAGATACTACCTACAAATACATATGTATTTATATATTTACAAATAAACATTATATAAACATTTATATATATACATAGTAGATAAACAAGTTTCTCCTGTATAGCACAAGGAACTATACTCAGTATCTTGTAGTAACCTATAATGAAAAAGAGAACCCAAAAAGGAATATATAAATGTATATGTATGACTGAAACATTTTGTATACCAGGAACTGGCACAACATTGTAAATTGACTATACTTCAATAAAAAAGAAAAAAAGATGTCTAGTTTTAATCTCATGTCAGTTTTACTTCAAGAAAGCTGTTTAAAAAAAAATCTACAGCCTGTCAATCTATCAACCAAATATAATGGTAGGATAAAGGTATTTTCAGATAATGCCAACTCTCAAAAAACTTAGCTCCCATGTTCACTTTACTCAAGAAATTACTAGAAGATGTGCTTCATTATAACATCAAAGTAATGAAGAAAGAAGATCTAACACCGGACAGAAG